AGAAATGAGGGAAGGGGACAAGTTCACTATACATTTGAATACTTTACAATATTTATAACTTAAAACAAATTAAAATACGTAAAACGATGTAAGTGATTTAGGAGATAAGTGTTGAAATGGTATTTTGAGGATGTTGAGGAATGAAGATAGTAACTAAAAAGTAAGACATCCACGGTCATAAAATAACAATACATCTAATCTTTCCCAAATTCATTTTAACGAAAATCAGAGAAAACAAAGAACTCGGGAGACAATTTTCAGTTGCAAAATTATCTCCTTTTCAGCATTTTATTCACATGATAATAATCATAATCAGTTTGGTTAAGTACAAAAACAACGAAAACGGTTATCTACTGTCTAGGCGAGATACAATCACATTTTGAAAACAACAATATATTGTTGTTACTGACATGACAGTTATGCATAATTCCTCTCCTCAGATACGGAACAAATATATTATTTCATTCATGGCGGGAGCTGAAATATGTTGGCATTTGAAGGGCCAACAAAATAATGAAAATAAAACTTTGAATAATTGTTTACCATTCATAAATGCATAACAAAATAAAAGTGTATATTATACAGTTATTAACTGTCTTCTCTGCAAAATATTTTTAACGCGCTTTTAACATGGTTGAGCGCTCTAAATTAGGAACCCTTGGGAATAGTTTCCTCGAAAAATTCTAGCTTGTATGGATTAATTCCAACTGTTTCTCTTACCCTCTCTCGATTCTTTCTCTCTCTCCCTCTGTATCTTTCTCCGTTTTCACTTTCTATTATTCATCCGATTTCATTTAAAGCGGAAATATGTTGTTGTCCCTTGACAAACAACACTCAATAAGATTTAGAAGTGAGCTGAAATGCGACACCGTTTCATTTAGCTTTGGATTCAAAACGTACGAATAATTCGACAAACTGGCGATACATTGTGCAAGAATTCTGCAATTTACCATCAATTTTAGTAAAGTTTCAAAAGTAATCAGAATTTTGCCTCTGTTATATAAGGTTTTGAGATCTTCTTTATTTCTTATACTCGTAATGAACACACTCGAGGGAAATCAGACTTTTTCGTGAAAACAGAAATATATATGTAGAAGTCATTATTTTGTTTGTTTGACATGTAGCTTGAAGCAATGTAAAATAAGCCGCGGAATCAGCAAGTCTTCCTAAAAAATTGCGAAGATTTTAGCAGTTGTCATGTTTATTTTGAGCCAGGTCCTTGAGGATAGGTTGCTGTCAAAATTTCATCAAAAGAAGACGGGTCTTTAATAAAACCCTGTTAGACTTAAAATTTGTTCTCCGTAGGTTTGCATTCTTTGCATTATGGTATAAAATTTATACTCACTAGGGTACTAAAAACACTTTCAATGGAAAATGGCCTACAGTATAAATATGGTCTTATGGGTTGTTTTACTTGACTGCTAATCATTCGTATACTTTTAAGTAGGCAACTACAGACCGACGGCTTTAAGTCATCTCCGATGGACTTGGTAATGAAGATTAATGCCTTACCTCATCAGGGTACTAGCGCATCGACTTGGTTTCGAACCCGAGACCTGAAGGTTACACCGCTCTACCACTGAGCCACCACCCTCTCCTCCTGACTGTGCTCACACAGTTTCTATACTGTTTCACAGTGTGCTTGGAAAATATGTTCTTACATCAGGCTAATCATATTAGAGCGAGAGCATACTCAATCAAAAAATAAAAAGTGATTGGCCCGGTTAAAAAAGGACGGGTCACATTCTATGAAAGCAGAGGACATAAAGAGTATTTATATCTAGGGACACAATTCACCCGGTTCATACGCGTCTTCATGTTGTCTGCAACTAAGTCTGAAAGTCTGAAACTAAATCCAATTTCGCCTCTTCGCAATCTCTGTCGGTTTTATATACCATGCGAAAGGAAAGATGTTCGTTCCCACCACAATTATTAATGTACTTTTAAAGGATGTATTGGAATGTACTTATTTTAAGTCTGTATAGAGGACGCCCTCCTTTAGCGGGGGGAGGGGGGGGGGGTATTGAGGTTGTGACATGTCTTCATTTAAACACCATGAAGCAGATATCCCAGAAAAAAAATCAAATTATATTTGAAGTATTCTCATATTACCTGAAGTCAATGGACGTTCTATGCTCCTTCGAGTGCATTTTATATTGAATCTTTTATATTGAGACCTACAGTAGATCTCTGACTTCACCTTCACATACAGAGTTAAGATAGAATACAGTCATGATTTACACGTCCAGTTCATGGGGTAAACTATACAGAAAGTGGACGGTACCGTTTCCCAAAGTGAGCTGAAATCTGGAGAGAAAAAAATATCAATGTCGAGTGACAGCCCAAAGAACCTTTTTATTGAGCGATTTTGTCAAAAGAGTATATTTTCCCCACTTTGGATAGAATGGTGCTCGATCAATTCTTGTGCAAATGTATTCCGTATCATGGAAAGTACCAGAGGAGATAAACGAGAACTAGAAAGAAAAATGAAATGAAATAAAAAAGCAGTACAAGATAACGTGTCAGTGTGGAGGCGAAGTAACAAGATTAATGCAGGAATAACTTCTTGATTAAACACCGCCCCGCCAGCTGCAACTGTGGTGGGATTTTATATCCCCAGGGCCTGTCTTAACTTTCCCAACCCGTTTATACATACGAGTATCCTGGCATCGCATTATTTGCAGACGAGCGGTAGTATTTACATCATTATTACTATTAGGGAAATTTGCGCCACAATATTTTCATCTCGTGTCGGCCGCCTGGGGCGTGGGGATGTGTAAGTATGTGTCCACCTCTCTACACACCTCGTGATCATTTGTATGTAATAATTTGACCTTGGTGTAATGAATCATTTTTAAATGATTTTTTGTTCGTGTTCATGGCAGATTATTAGTTGGTGGATTATAATCATCTACATCAAAGGAGCGACTTCAAAATGTTGCATTTTTATTTGGTTCAGAACAAACTAACTCAAACAATATAAGATCCTATGTTCCGAACTTCAAATACTAGATACAGTATTGGTCATCAAAATGACCAAATGTTTTGGACTTGCCCATATACTAAGGCAGCTTTTATTTTCTTAAACTGGTAATTTAGATATATTAAATTAACTAATTAAAGAGGTCATGTAGGCCTATCGCAATCGACAATCCTTCCACATTTTGTGGTTTGGCTCAATAACTTTCGATTCAGAGCACTAAAAAAAATATGCCAAGTGCATGAGTTGAAAGGGCACACATTTCTGCACATATTGAATCAATTCTTGTTTTTTGACTATCTTGCGTTTGATTTCAGTAATTTTAAAATCGTCTTAAATCGTCAATATATGGAGATATTCAAAATCGTTGTTTATCGATCTAAATTTTGTCATTTTTAAAAACTTTTCGACAACATTCCCGCCCATGTATGTTGTTTTCAGATACATTAAATTTGTATAAGTATAATGTAGCAATAAATGGAAAAAAAATACCATGGTTGCCGATTTGATCGGGAATATGTGATCAATTAAGCCCTAAAATAAGTCTGTCTTGAAAGGGTTTATATTAGGTCTGGTCGATAGTTCAACCACGTGACCTTTAACATGTGTAAAACGGAATAAATGGGACATATGTTATTGTGGCCTTCTGAAAATGTGTTTATACATATATACATCGGCATGTTGTCCAACCGATGGAAATTAAATGAAAATGGTATTTTACGACAGCCATATCCTTCATCGATTGCACATCATCACAAAATAATGAGTTATAGATTGAAAAGCGACACCGCATTCTGCATAGATTTGGTAGAGAGAAGGATAAATAATTAAAATATATACGTTAGCTGAAAAATGTTTCAATTAGGCAATAAATATTGAATACATCTTTACCATATTTGTTAATGTTAAATGCTCGGAATTTTCGCTAGAAAATGCAATGTTAAAAAAACGAACATTTTTAATGCATATTTTTTTTGTTTTTGCTAGTGTTCTTTCTCAAATTTCCATATGTATAATGATTTCAACCTTCAAAATTTAATATTTTGTTGTTCTTATTCATCAAAACTTCGTTCAACCTGTTATTTACCTGTCTTTTTTTCATTCCTTCAAAGTATTTTGCAAAATAAATGTTCACATCCCCTTTTATTTCACTCATATAAAAAATTATATCAAAAATACATTTACATTTCCGGGACAATAAGAAATGTTTTCTTCACGGGAACCTTCATACATGTTACATGTATTGATATAAATACTAATATGACAGATAAAACCCTGGTTCTGGGCTAAAATGCACAAAGGATTTGCCTTCAACCTTTTGAGAAAGAAAAAATGCATGCACACCGGGGGGGGGGGGGCTGCGCGAGTAGAGGGGCTGTTAATTAACATCGCTATTGATTCACTGGTGTTAGAGGTGCGCTAGCATAATGTTTTCACCTTTACCCCCCCCCCCCCCCACCTCCCGAAGATCCCCATCAAACGGATTGGGTACACCGCATAGACCCATCTGCCTGTTTTTGCCTTTTCTTTTTGTTTTCTAAAGTGGCTCTTGGGTTGCAAAAATAAATATTTGGCAAGGAAAGAATCATGACATATTAGAAACTTGGGGCTGTAAAATACATCGAGAATTGGTAAAGTCCTACAATTCATTCAGCAGTGTCGACAACATAATATGAAGGTTTTGACTAAGATAAATATTCCCTATCGAGAAATTGCACTTTTGAAACGCCTTATTCTAGCTTGCTGCATACAATAATTTCACACATTTATATCACACTACTCTTATAATAGACTACTCGTCATACATCGTATCTAACTATGTAGAAAATTATCAAAAGCATTGAGCCGGCATGGCTATCACGACAGTTATTGTTAGTCCTCGTGCATCACATCCTCAGTTGCATAATGGAAGATTTGTCTTTTTTTTCACGAGCAGTAGGCAAAAAACCTGGAAAGAAACGGCGATATATTATCATTCGAAATCATGTAAGCACTTGGAAAGATGAAAACGATGTCGTCATCATTGAACGATGCATCCTCGTTTCTTTCTAAACCCCGTACCTTCAGCCGCTGGTTCCTCTTCTTCGTTTATATCGCCACGCTTTACGCTGCGCAGCGCGTTGTTGCGCACCTGCAGAAGGTCACTGCGCAGGCTCGGTCGGCGAGCGTTGGGCGAGATAACGCCGCACGCGTCACTAATGCGCTTGCGCAGTGTGATTCCCCTGGGGTTCGACTTGGGTGACAGGTCAGGTGGACCAGCGTTGTCACTACCACCAACTTTGCGATGCTGCGACGGTGTCATCTCGGCGGGAAGTCTAGCGTGCTCGAAAAGCGAATGGAAAAGGCAGTCGATGTTGATATTGTCCTTGGCGCTGACCTCCAGGCACGAGCACCGTTTGGCGGAAGACACTGCGCGACGTGCGTCGTCGAAGTCGATTTCGCGGAAGTCGTCGCGATCGACCTTGTTTCCTGCGAGTACCATGGGTGTTGATTTGATCCCCTTGGCCCTCTTGGTGTCGATGATTTGCTGTCGTATACGAAGTACTTCTTGAAACGTCTCCTTGTTGTCTATTGTGTATACCAGCATGAAGGCATCTCCTATGTACCAAGAGAAAAAGAGAAAACGACAGTTATAACACTGTTTCATCAATACAAAAACAAAACTTATACCATCTACATGTGTCTATGTCTGTTTAGAACATTTCATTGATGATTTAGACCCTAACTCAAAACGTTTGCAATCGATAGCAAAATGACATTGACCAATCAAGACTGTTCGAAAGGCTAACCATGATTAACCATTATTATAATCGGTTTTTTAAATTTGCACTTGATCGCAAACCTTTCTGTTTAGCCTGGCCGATGATCGAAGAAGTTAAAGGTGACTGAGAAAGGGGTGGAATATAAGAAGATATATATATATATATATATATATATATATATATACAAGATAAGAAAGAGATACAGTGAGTTTTTGCACCTCATAATACCATGCCTTATTCTGTGATATATAACAAAATAGAAGTTTTTATTATCATCCTCTCCAAGCGCTATAGTTCTCCTTGGAACTATAAGCTAAGAAAGATAACCAACAGTCTTTTTCAAGACTATACCAACAGTCCTTTTCAGGACTAACAAACCCTCAAGAAAGATTACCGAGAGTCCTTTTCAGGACTCCTCAACCCTCTCTCACATGGTGCACTCGCAAGCCTACTGTATAAGTTTTTATTAGTTTTAAACTCTTTTCTCGCTAATAATTTATACAAAGAGAAAATGTACGCATTGTACGATATACCAATTTGACTGCCGGTAACCCCCCTCCTCCCCCCCCCCCCCAAATAAAAGGGGGTTGGGGAAGAAAAAGAAAAAATAGAGAAGAAGAAAATGATTAACGTACAGTTTATGTAGCCTATTATCATCGACTATAAATACATTCAATTTTTTTTCTTCAGTTATTTGAACAACGAAAGGTGCACTTTTCAGGAGCCCTTTAACAGAACAATCTTCTTAGTGCAGTTGCAAACCAGACGCCTGATTTTAGAAACCCTACCTCGCAGTTACTTAGAAATGCTTCTTGCTTTTCCATCTTTAAAGAAGGTCGTGTTGACAACATGGTGCTGCTGTTTAAAAGAACCAGTGTTGACACATACACAGTGAAACTAAAAGGAAATTTTTCGACCATATTCCACAGTGCTGTCTAATTTAAAAAGGCTGAGTTCACGCCACTTTCACACTCGTGACACAGAATGGACACATCGTAACTTGATATATCCAAGGCCCCGTCTTATAAAGAGTTGCGATTAATCCGAATTAATCGCAAGTTTGTAGTCCCCTATCTCTCATGTAAATAGTTGCGATTGATGGCAATCGCAAATAAGTTGCGATTAATGTAAACTCTTTATAAGACGGGCCCAATGAATACCCATCTAACTGCAACCAAAGAATGGGTTTGGAATGCTTTCACTGTGCCTACACTGCGGAAGACCGGTGTTCAAACCATTTACAAGTTGTGTGACACACGATAGCCCAATATAAATTTACACAGAGCATACAAAAGGTAATCACAGTGTGGATTCGGAGCACAATGGTAGATAATGTAGAGGCTCCGTGTTAACACTGAAAGATAATGATACAATTTAAGGCATTTTAGCCACACACAGATACTTACAGAGCCTTTGCACCACTGTGTATCATCATGGAAGTTCAAACACTTTCATATTATTGACAGTGTGAACACATATTGTCTTCACTCTTCACACTAACACTGTGCACTATAAGAGTAAATATAAAATCGCTGGTGCAAAATGGCTTTTTATGGAATAACAAACGTGTGTTGACAGATATTAAGAATAACGATTCTGTCACCCTAAGTCTTTCCGAACACACGAGATACACGATTATCTTACGAGGGTATTCTTCTTTTGCTATGATTTGTAAACAAATACTGTGTACACTTACGGTTTTTCTATTAATGATACATGTATAATTATACATAAGATACATTCAGAGAAATGTTATCATTTTAAACACTTTAAAAGAAAATGCGTTAACATCTTATGTAGATATCAATACATTCAAAATAAATAATATACACAAAGAAGATAAAAAAAAAACACAGAGATTTTAAAGTTCAGATCTATCATGATACAGTGTTTATCGTCAAAATTATATTGAAGTCAATGGTACACGAATACGAAGAGATATACAAAAGGGTATTAAAATTGCCTCCGAGTCAATTTTTAGAAAGCCTTTGCGATGTTTTATTTGTAAATGCCTTCAATTTCTACTTGAGGAATTTAAGTTTAACGGAAAGGAGGTCATCCTGGGGAAGGCATTAAGATTTAAAATCTTTGTGATAGATCGTAGCCTATTCATCAACTTTGAAAATAGGATAGTTTTTATATGAATAAACTAAATAACTTAATAAAATAAAAAAAGGAACGATGATGTTACTCTAGCTGAGCAATTAATTGTAAATCATCGAATCGCGATTGGCATGCGAGGTCGTGTTTGTCTAATTCCTTTTGCCGTGATGAATAGGCGGGAAACGGGACCCATCCGATGTCGTCTGCACACAATATTGGGTTACCGTAAACCAAGAAAATCAACTGTTCCCTGACCCGAATTTTTTCCTCTCTGTCACTATAACGTGCCCATACGATCGTTGTATTCTCCGAATCCTCGTGTTTGCAAGAAAAGAAAAAAAAATGCACGTAGCTTTGAAGCATGATAATTATACTAACAGATATTCTAAACATGTCTAAAATATTTGACAGCTTGTGTAATTTGAATTTAAGTAATTTTAATATTAATCCATTTCAATCATGATTTTAGTCAATTTCATTTGATGCACCTTATTGAAAAGCGAGATGAGGAGGTGTTGGAAAAACCACGCTGATACAATGAATTTAATTTCTATACAGGATAGTCTGGTGGAAACATTCATTGAATTATCTCTGTTCTTTCAATTGTTTGTCTCTGAATGTAAAATATTTTAATTGGTGTGCTTTTACGAAGGTCTTAAAACCCTTTGTAGACTTTTCGTGGGTTTACCTCGTAACCTAGAAGAAAATCAAAGTGTAAATGACGACATAATTAAAAAGTATATAATCCAAGGTCCAAGGTAGCTACTCAATGAAGCTATTCCATGCTAAATTATCACAGGCTTTTGCTCATTTCGCATTCATACGATCATTTGATATTTATGGAGAATTTTAAGCTTCTGTGCACTTGCCTTCAGTTGTGTATTAGTTCTAAAGATCAAAGATCACGCCCGCTACTGTTTTAATCGTGAAAGTTTTAATCACAACGCAAACGAGGTCCTAAATGTCAAATGCCTTAAAAATCACATTGGCTGTTGAATGATTAATGCTGTTCGTGTATACCATTATAAATAGGAACACATTATATATGCATCTTTGATATCTTGCGATTAGGTATTCAAGGTTATGCAGAGTGATCTAGTTTAGGATTAAAAGGACAAATAAATAGGCAAGGAAATTTGAGCAGTGGGTAATTGGGCTGGATGAATATTGAAAAGGGAAATAATAAACAATACATGAAAAGGCAGATACTGAACAAGAAAATGAAATTTGGTATGATTTCATACCGTTTTTAAACATGATAGCATTTTGTTCTTTTGATAAACATTATGCAGTCAAATAAATATTCAGTCTATATTTTGAATAATTAAGATTGTTTATTGCATAATAATATTATGTATATATTTTTCATTTTTATTACCTTTCAATAAAATTCATGAATGAATGTAGATCAACACAGTGTATTAAATTTGACAGTTGTCAAACTCATTCTATGTTTTCTATTAGCCCTTTCTTTCAACAGTATCTCCTGAAAATTACAGATTACAAATTATGAATATTTCTGGCAATTCAATGTCAAAATGAAAATTTGGGACATTTAATCAACGAACTCCATCAAGAAACAATACTGCTAGTATATGTTAGGCACAATATACTTTGCCTACGTATACATTCAATTCGTAGTTTTATAATTCCTTGCATTTCACCCAAACGCGGCTAGAACCATCGATATTTTCAACAGAAAATACTTCTGAAGTACCGAATCAGGCGCAAATAACTGCAGAGTATTGCTATCGATGCAATTTCAAAACATTTCCAAACAGCCGCAAACTTTCATATAACAGGACACAAAAGCTAAGCTAAGAGCACATCACACGACCCACGTCATTCGCAATGCAATTTTGAAATTTGCAATTTCTTCTTAAGTGGATAATCCTCGAAAAAAATCTTAGGTAAATAACATTAAACACGTCCTATACTGCCCCGGTGAATTACTTTCTATTGGCATTTTGCAACATGTGGCAATCGCAGACGACCTTTGTGCGACAGACATTGCACTTTTCGTTTTGGCGGGCTTTCCCCTCTCAACACGCGGGAACACACTCAATCTATTCCCAATAGTACGCTAATAAGAATGATAGGAGAGTATTTCCTGCCTTTGAAAATGAACTCTGTGATACTATCAAAGGGACACCTACAACTCATACACAACACTATTGAGACTAATCTAAGAGTGAATGGCGATTCTAAATAGATATTGCGAAATCATTTCTGTCCCAATTACAGTTATGAGTTACCATTTAAATGTTCCAAAAATATGAAAACTCGTACACCTCTTCTACAAATCATATAGTCTTAACTGCTGACGACATAAACAATTTCCTGATGGTTGCCCGACATAGCAATAATTAATATACAAAACATGCTTTCTGTAAGAACAAAAAATCTTCAAACGTAGAGAAAATATTTCACCGGACTCTTGGCGAAAAGTCATATACAAACCCTTTGTATACCAGTCCTGTCTCATACTTAACTCGGCTATATTAAAATATTCACATGATGCACCTTTATTAAACGATCCCTGAACATGCTGAATGGAAAGTCCTTGGAATCTATTTAGGATTCAAAACAATTATTTGTATACTCTTATTAAACTTCTCTAGGCAGCGAATTCAAAAATATAATTGTAGACACTTATAGATGCTCACTTTAATATCCAGTGCGACGATCAGTGCGGACTGATCTTATTTTAGACTAAGCGGATTAAGTGAACAC